AGACAAAATTAACAACCTAGATGGGGTATTAAGGGTAGCATGACCAACACTAGATATAGGCAAACCTGCACCATTACCAACACGCAACATGTCAAAACCACGATAGACCTCAGAATCTGATAGAGCCGAGATGTCCGGAACGCCATCATTAGTCACCATATGAACCTGAGGCGCCGGAGAGTCGTGATACCGCCAGAAGCAGTGAACTGTCGTGTCACCCAGACCGCTGCAAATTTGACACCAGGGAGCCGACTATCGTCAACGACCTCTGCCACCGGCCACGACCACCATAGCAGTAGACGACAACACATCACAAGAAGATCCAGTAGCAAGAAAATCATCAGCGTAGATGAATTCCTGGGCTACTAGATGATCGGAAAACTCTGCAAGAGTAATCGGTGTACCTTGCGTAGTGAGAAAGGACACCATCGACTGACACTCTGAATGTAAACCCCGAAACACGTAAAGGTTTTGTTCGTCCAAAGATACATGCCCCCCGATGAGAGAAAACTCCTCAACTAGAACTTGAGCACGACCTAAGAACTCGGAGACGAAACTATCACCTACTCGGAGATTCTGGAGTTGTCCAAGAAGCCTCTACGCTCGTGCACATGTAGATGAACCCAAAGCCTATTCAGTGACACTCCAAACCTGATGAGAAGTGGTGTGTCTAACTGCCAAGTGCATCGTCTATTCCGACAATGAAGAGATCAGCATGGAGATAATGGACTAGTCTTGTTGCACCCAAGTCGCATAAGCAGGATTCAACACCGGAGCTGGAGCAGCACCACCGCCGGACGAAGCAACTCCACCAGACGCAACAGAGAGCATGACTAGCGGGCATGGGAAGGATCTATCAACGTAGCCAAGCAAATTTTGTCCTCGGAGAAACGGAACGAGCTGTGTACGCCAAAACAGATAATTCTGGTTCGTTAGCTTGATTGAAAAAAAAATGATGCGCCGTGGATAATGATGTGAGAGCCACCAACGACAATGAAGTAGTGTTCTCGGAAACCGTCCGCTCAGAACTGTCATTACCTTCGACCATGAGAAACCTGAACGTTGATACCAAATTAGGTCAGGATTATCTCAATCATATTCACAATAAATTACATAGTATATATATACACACACACACATGATAAATATTAAGTATAACTAGGATGGTAGAGTCCAAATACATACATCCCGGGCAAATCCTTATAGTAGACGCCCCACTATCAAACATCCAGGGAGGAGAAGCCCTAGTCATTGAATTGGCTGTAGGAGATACATAGGATTGCACAGGAGGAACATCATGCTCCTTTAAAAATCGGGCTAGCTTGCGACACACCCTTGTTTCATGACCTGTAAGATAACAAAACTTACAGACATACCTGAGCGATTGTGTGCCCCTTGTTGCCGAGTGGAGCCATAATGATTGTTATTGTTGCGAGCCCTCCGGTTGGTGTTGGACTGGTGGTTGCGCCGCGGGGGTGACGAGGTGCGTTGAGTAACATTAGCAGTAGTAAAAAAGGACTGACGCAAAGCATCTGCGTCTATCAATTGGCGTTCATGGTCAGTCAACACATCTGCCAACTCGCCAAAAGAAAGAGGCTTCTCACGAACGCGGATGGCCGGTGTGATGGAACTGTAATCCTCGCCTAGCTGAGTTAATACATAGATGATTAGATCTTCGTCAGATACGGGACACTGAGCCAACGCTAAATCATCAGCTATGACTCGCATGTCATTGAGATAAGTGGTGATGGATCGAGACCCTCGCGGATTCCTCGTGAGTTTGACCTTGAGGGATATGACACGTCCTCGTGAGGCACTGGTGTAACTAGCAACAAGACGTTGCCACGCATCATGGGCTATCGTAGCCGAGGAGATAAGGGGCTGTATGGTGTCAGTACAGCTCCCAAGTAGAGCACTGACAATAACTTGGTCTTGACGATACTAAGCTAAATGAGCCGGGTTGACAGAAGTTTGAGCAGGATCAGTGAATTTAGCTGGTTCCGTGGTTGTACCATCAACATAGCCAAAGAGATTAAACCCAACAAGTGTGGCATGAATTTGACGCCGCCACACTGGGAAATTCACGGTCGTGAGTTTAACTAGGAAGTGTGTTGGGGCATTTAATTGGATTATTGTGGTTGTAGTAGCGTAAGCCATTTGGAAGGGGAAGGAGAAAAAAAAACTTCGTAGGAGAAATTAGGCTCTTGATACTATAATAGATTATGAACTCAACTGATATTATTGATGTAAAACAATCAGCTTTAAATATCATACAAGAGAGAGAAGATAGTAGGTAGTTAGCATGTTGTTGTAACAACCAGTCTAACAATGCTACATAAAAGGAATGCAACTAGAATTAATCATACAAAAGATGTCAGCCACATATATCCTTAACACCTTATGCTCAGATAAAAAATAAAGTTATATTATTTTTTTCTCTTAGCAAAATACATTGTACAATTTTATCATTTCTACGATATAAGGGTAACAATTTTAAAATTCTCAAAACAATTATTCCAATATACAATAGTCACCAACCCATCATCGTATTTTGCAGATTGCTTTTAAGTTTTGAAGTGATAATGCACAAAGGCTTCTTCAACTAGCTTGGCAGCTTTCTTGGAAACTTTTTATTCACTTCCATTACTTCCTTTTCTAACTAATTATATATATCCACAGTTCAAGGTACATCCATAATTCATATAGGGATCCAGAGGAAATGAATTTCTCCTGATTTTTTTTTATCGTACAAATTCAATTTCCATAAAAAGCAATTGTCATTTTTAATAAAAATATACATTAATACATTAATTAAGTGATATATTATAAATAAAATAAATATTTTATTATTTCACGTTTTTATTTAAAGATTATTTCAGACGATAAAATTATGAATTTATTATATGTGATGATTTTTGTTGGTAGCTATCCAATAGACAAGTCTTCCGGACAACAGCTAGAAGACCTATCCCCCATCCCTACTGTCAAGTGGTAAGAGACTAGTCAAATGGTTTGCTCCATTCACATGGGTGGAGATCGAGCTCCCAACCTCATACTTAAGGGACGAGGTGTTGAACCACCACGCCAACCATGTTGGTTATAATTTTTGTTGGTATGTCAATATAAGTAATGAGTACATTTTTTTTAATAACAAGGAAATCCTGCAACCACTAAGGGGGTATGCATTGCGTAAGCCCTGCTGTCCTATAATAACTCACAAAGTGTAATAGTGGCTTGACCGAAAAAGTTTTACGTGGATGATAATAATCGAACTTATAACTTTCTGGTGCAAGAATCGTGTATACTTTTTAACAATAAATATTTTTTTTCATCGGTCTATTTTTCTCATTATAATTGATAGTAATAAATATAATAATCTTGGAAGGTTAAATATATATTGAGATATAATTAATTTCTTCAAATTAAATGGACTCTAATTATCATTCTTCCAAAAAGTTAAACCCCAACCCGACAGAGCATTTGGGAGGATGTAAATCATGATAACTCAACTAAACATGAATCATTGAGGCTAGACCGGTGCTCACTGCGCACAAGGAGCCCCCCTCACTTTGAGAGGTTACACCCACACTACTGCTGGTGAGACTTGATCTCTGGTCATTCTTTTAAAATTTCACTTTTATAACCAGTTGAGCTACCCATGCAGACGGATTCTAATTAAGATGCTTTGACTTGATTTCATTAGTAAACCAAGTCAAGCTCCATAAACAGTATCTTAATGCACTTCGTATACAACACGCTTTATGGAGATATTCAATATATTAAATTATAATTTTAAATTTTTTAAAGAAAAAGTCATGTTGATTGTTGATAGTAATAGTAGTGTCAATTTTTTAAAATAGAAAGAGACAAACTTTATAATTTTTTATAATTTACTTTCCAATCCATAAAAAAATTATTATTTTTACCATAATGAGATGTCTAAAAAAAAATGTCCATTTTCACAAGGACAACAATGTCTATTACCTCAATGCATTTATTATGTGTAAAATCAAATAAGTGATGCTACCCTCTCCTTCTAAATTTACCTTATAATAATATTTACATCTTGATGTAAAATCACTTGACTAATTTTTTAATATTTAATTAATAAATAATTTTTTTTAAAAACTCGTGGTGGATCAATCAATTCACAATAATAAATAAGAAATTCTATTATTACGTCAAGACATGAACATGGGGAGACTGACGGGAAAAAATATCATTATTGAAAGTAAATACATCACTTAGTCGACGTATCAAATATATACATCTAAAAGTATTCGGAGTAGTACTTTTTGAACTCTGAAAATATATAATTAACTAAACATGTACCACTTTTTTAGGGGGGTGATTCGGGTTATCTGAATCGAGTCGAACCGAACAGTTAAGTTTTGGTTTATTATTAAAAATCAATTGGTTTTATATTTTATAAACTGAATGGTTTCAGTTCGGTTCAGTTAAAAATCGGATGATTTTTTTTTTTACATATACACATTAAATAATTCTATATTTTATTTATACCCAAATGCTTTTATATTTACAAATTTACCCAAATGTATATATATACTAAATTCTCAATTCTTTAACCCAAATTTTCACAATTATTCTTTATTCTCAATTTTTTCTTTGAGAGTTTGTGACGTTGTTGTCGAATGGCAGACCCAGGTGAAAAAGTCGGTTCGATTTAGACTTATTTTAGATTGAGAAATTTGAAATATCCATTGTGGACTTGTTGTTTAGATTTTCAAATTTATATTATTAGTAAAAAATAAATAAATAATTATGTGTGCAAGAAGTAGCTAAGAAATGTTTGAATTATCAAATCTAACCAAAAGCAAACTATTTCAAATCGTACTAAAATTTAAAATCGAATGACTTCATTTTTTTCAAAACAAAAAAAATCCAAAACTGGAAAAAACCAAACCAAAACGCCCACCCCAAACTTTTTAATTTTAACGACCAAAGATTTTGTAGATAGACAAAAAAAAAAAAAAAAGATCAGAGAAGGGTAATTAATTTCGTGAAATAATACTAGTGATGAATATCCATCATTAATACTAAGTTATTAGCAGAACGTGACAAAAGATTCCGGCGAGGCAACGGCGGCGGCGGAGAAACGAACAAGGAGTTGAACTAATGAATATAATAAATACATTATATATAGGTAGCAATAATATATATAATATATACATTAAAGTGGGTGGAGACAGGGTGGAGGCAAGTAATTAAACCTCTGTTGAAAGTGAGAGAGTAAAGCAAGGTTCTCTTGCTGCAGGAGGCTAGCCTTCTTCCTCAAAATCTCATTCTCTTTCATCATACTTATGTTCTTCAAGTACAATTCCAAGTTCATAACCTTAATCTCCTCGTCTTTCTCTCCTCCTCGTCTCTTCTTCTGCAGTTTCCTGACCAACCAACAACAAACGTCGTAACCCTTAATTTCAAAAGATCGAGTATTACCCGACATGAAAACAGAAAACAAAAGACCGATCATATGAGATTATTGGTTTTGAAAGATGGGTTATGGGTATATATATATATATATACCTTGTTAGGCTGTGGACTTGGAACTTGGAACGTCGGCTCCACCGCTTTTTATGCGTAGGAATAATATTGTTGAGGTTGCGCCATGGAATCTGGTCTGAGGAAGCAATACACATTTTGTGGCGAAGATGGAGATGGAGGTGAGACTTGAGAGGTGAGATGGTGGTATAAATAGCTAGTGGGATTTGTTGTTTTCAATGCGTTGTTAGTATATGCAAAACCCATGTGGTGCCGCTGCGAAATAATTACGCGGAATTATTTAAATTAGTAATTTAAATTTTAGTGTTTGGTTGGTAAAAATAAAATTACTGGAAATTTGATATACATGAAAATTGAAAGGGAATAATTAATATAAAATTTAAAATGTCTATACTTAATAATAATAATAATAATAATAATAATAATAATAATAATAAATATATTATTATTATTATTATTACTATTATTATTATTATAAATCCTAAATGTTTAGATTTTGATTTTGAAATTTTATGTAAAACACTGTAAATAAATTTTAGAATTGCATAACAAAAGCAATAAAATAGATAAAGAGAGATTTGAGAAAACATATTTGATTGATGTTGGACTACTAATCGGTGTTCTGTGTTGAGGGTAGAAGAAGAATACAGGCTATAATCGAAAGAGATTGGTCAAACATTAATTTTAGGTTAAAAAAGAGAGGTCGAGGTAATTTTGTTTCAAAATTATTTTTTTCTTCCTAAAATCAATGGAATTGAAATATCAAGGGGGGCATGGGACTAATTCATTGAAAATTATGAAATTTTAATTCCGCAGAATTGCAATTCCCTCCAACCAAACAAATGAATTTGCTTGCCTTCGAAATTATGTGGGAATAGGTGGAAATAGAATTGTAATTCCCTCCAACCAAACGCTCTGTTAGGTGCTAACCTAGCTACTACACTTCCGCTTCATACTATACTACATAATACGGAGTAATATCTACCCCTTCAATAGTAATAGGCATTTTGCCTCGGGTTTGGGGGTTCGAATCCTATTGAAAACATGAAAAGTGTGAATGAGTAGTAGGTTAATTGCGTGACGGGAGGTGACTATGTGGAGGTGGGAACTATATAAGATTTGAGTGGTGAGTGGTGACTTAAAGGTTATGATTGGATGTGACTATCTAGGGGTGGGGGTGGATTGATTGCCCGACTCATAATTTATCTCTATAGTAGCTCTATGGGCGGAATCCTATAGACAAAGAGTCACTACCCGACCACGGAGTTTGATTATGTGACCTTCCTTCTAAAGAAGAGCTATAGAGATGACATTTGAACACAAAGTACTTGAAACTAATGTTTAAAAAAATAAAAAAATAATAATAATAAAAAAAAAAAAAAAAAAAAAAACCTTCAAACTTAAAACTACACCCTCTTCCTATACATATTATAATATTTAATCCCATACACAAATTTAAGATATTATATTTAATATTTTGATTAAAAGATAAATTTTTAATTTTACTTTTTGCTTTTCTATTTATGTGAAAGGATCATGTTATAGGAATTAAAATTCTATTAATTACATTTTTTTTAATACTATTAACTTTATTACAATGTAATATATGTTCTTTAATAATTTAAAAATTTGAAGTGCAATATTAATTTTAATAAAATTTGTTAGTAATGGATTAAAACTACTACTTTGCATATGCCAAATTATTGTGTGGACCATGGTCCATATAGCTGTGTGGACTATAAATGTAATATACATTTTTTTTTTAATATACTAAAAGTACATTGTTTGTTGAGAAAATTACACTTTTAGTCTCGTGACTATAGGGGTCTTATTAATATCAGTACTTGACTTTAAAAACTAACAATTTAGTCCTGTAACTATACATTTTTTAACACATTTGGTCCTCCGGTCAAATCACCGACGAAATTTCGCCGGAAAAAAGTAACCCATTTTAAATTAAATATAAGTGGGGGTAAAATGGTCAATTTAACTTTTTAAAAAGGGCAAAATCGATGTTCAGTCGCTGGGCAGAGTAATGACTAATGAGAAAATTCCTAATTTGATTTCAATCTAATTCCTAATAGCGACTCCCATGGAAGAATCAATACTGATACCTAAAGAACTTGACTTGTGGGTTGATCCCAGAAACAACGGAGTGAGCAAGGAAGCAAGAAAGCTTAACGGTGTCATTAATGTGGCAATAGAAGGCTCGAGTATCAGAATACTTGATCTGACTCATTTGAGCGAGCTCCGGGCAGATGCCCATCCCGCAATTTGGTTGGGAAAGAAGGATGCAGTCGCCATTTGGGGCCAGGACTGTATGCACTGGTTCCTGCCAGGCGTTCCAGACACTTGGGTCGATATATTGGCATAACAAATTCGTTATAGCGTGGAGACGAGGTGATAGCTGCATAGTTACGGGATTAAATTGTTAGTTTTTGAAGTGAAGTACTAAAATTAACAAGACATATATAGTCACAGGACCAAAAGTGTAATTTTCTCTTGTTTGTGTAATGAATGTACATTATTTGATAATATATATAAAAAAAATCATGTACTTTCAAATAATGTAATTTATGTATACAAATAATGTATTTTTAGTATATTAAAAATGTACTTTTTATTTATGGTTCACACAAATGTGTGGACCATGGTCCATGGAATAATGATTGTTTACATATAATTAAAGGGAAAAATGTATATGCTATTATAATTATTGAGTCTAAAATATATGCATAATTAATAGATTAAAACAGTCATTTTCCTTTTTGTATGATTATGAATTAATTAATTTTATAATAAGTTAATTAGATAAAGGTATATAAATAGTATAATTTTTTAACAAAATTTTTACACAATATATATATATTCATAATAATACCAATAAAATAATAAAATAGATAAAAATAAAAAGAAAAGCCAGATGAGAAGTTAGGAACTTTTTTCAGAAAGCTTAATTATATATTACAAAAAATAAAATAAAATAGTATGGCTCTATAAGATATACGTTTCATTTGATGAAAAATTGCAAATTTAAAATAAACTCTTAATTTAACGTATATCTTATTGCATATGAGAAATAAATTTAGGACATTTTATTATTATTATTATTATTATTATTATTATTATTATTATTATTATTATTATTATTATTATTATTATTATTATTATTATTATTATTATTATTATTATTCCCTACCAATTAACATAAAATAATATTCACTACTCTTATTTAATTAACTAGCATTTTGTACGTGCAGTGCGTGAAAATTCATGCACAATAGTACAATATTGCTGAATAAAAATTAAAAAATTAGTTCAAATTATATTACACACTTTCTTAAATTAAAGTGGTAAATTTTAATTATCATATTTGAATAATATAAAAAAAAAATTATAATTTTTTGTTTAATAATAATTTACACAATTTTCATAAAACTTATATTTACAAAAAGTTTATAAAAAGTCTATAATACTAAGCTAACACACACACACAAATATAATATATGCATTAGAGCATCTTCAAAAATTAATTTTTTTTCATGGTTTTTTTCAATGTCAAGAAAGAAAGGGGAGAGAGAAGAGGAAAAAGAAGGGGAAAAATGGAGAAAAAAAGAGGGAAAAGTATAAATAGGCAATCGAACTATTTGAAAAATAACAATTAAGTCACTAAACTCGAAAAAGCTCTAAATTAATCCATGAACTCAGAAAATAAATGCAATTAGCATTTTTAGCAGGTCACCATCCGATTTCTGCTGATTAGATTACCATGTGTAATTATGTTTTGTTCTTATTATCTTACGTGAAATACATGTAAGCATTTGACTAATTTAAAGTTAAAATTTGACTAAACATGTAAGTAGGTTCTCTCAACTCCTTCCTCACCTCAAATTTCCTTATCTTTCTCCTCTCTCTTAGCTCGATAAAGATTAAAAAAAAAAACCAGCAAAATCAAAGAGAGAAAATTATTCAAAAAAATTATGGAAAATGTTTCATTCCGTGTTCCAAGCATATTGTTATCCTTTTAACCCATCATCTTTGTTTTTGAAGCCATTATTCCTACTTGCGCGACTGTTCACGGGCTGTTGATATCGACCGATAGTGGCCAAAAAGCTCAGGAAATCCTGTTTGATTAAGGCTTCGTCGCGAATCCTATTTGATTAAAGCTTAACGAGCAGGGGAGCCATATCCCTCACTTCATAACCAACATATATATGGCAGGCGACCCGTAGATGAGGACGAGGAGGGCAGCGACGGTGATGCCGGATACAGTGCAAAATGCTACTCTCTTCAAGTAGAATAGATTAACAAGGTGTACCAGAAGTAATGCATTTCGTGTAGCATCTTGTGTCCTAATATTACCAAACAGTGTTGTCAATCCTAATATCTCCAAATGTGGTGTCTGGAATGCCATTAGTATTGCCATAGCATCATCAGGGTTTAACAAACAGCCTGCCTATTAGTACTCATGTGTTAAAACTTAAAAGGGAAAACAATATGTTAAGATCACAGAATGAGACATTTTTGAAAATTTTTTGGAATAATTTTCTCTTCTTTGTGCTTGATTTATAGTAGTCACAGGATTGGTGACCCACTGCAAAGTTAGCATAGTACATCGCTGAGATCCAACAATATAATATGTATCAGATCAGAGCCAAGGTCACAAGGAGATCCAACAATAGGTATCAGACGGGAGATCCAATAATAGGTATCAGAGGGGAGGTCACAAGTTTGAATCTTCGCTAGGAAGTGAATTAGTTGGCATGTAGTTTTATCTAACAAAAATGTCCTAAAGATGTTAGGGTCTACTCAGGACACCTTATAATCTAATAAAAAAAATACAGTAAAGATAATTTTGTCAAATAAAATAAAATGTACGACATTTAAATTAAAATGTATACTTTTATTAGTGTACAAAAAAAAACAAAAATTAAGGATATAAATGTTTTTATATTTCCTCCTCTCATATCCACCGTACAAAAGACATTCAAGAAATTTAAAATTATTTTTCTTCCTTTTTTAAAAAAGTTTTTCTTCTCCTTTACTCTATTGTAAATTTCACATTTTGACACCGTTCGGAATAGAATGGGGTTCGGATGGGTGTTGCGAGATGATCAGGGACAATTTATGGCCGCGAAGAGTGTTTGTGTACCGGGCCAGTTTAGTGTTGTGGAGGCCGAAGTAATGTGCATGCGTGAG